AGGGGGCGTCACCCTGTACGGCCATCAGCTGCCCCACAGCGCTGGGCAGCACAACCACCTCCTTCAGGGGCATCGCAGCCTCCCGGGAGTAGCTTTTCGGTGCCGCTGCGGGTCGGGAGCACAGTGCCCTGCCCGTGTGCCCCAGTGACTCGGGGTCTGCAGAGCCGCTGAAGCGGTAACAGCAGCCGAGGACCCCTGCTAACACGAGCCACACAGCTAATGGCATCTCCCTCAGGGAAAAGAAGGAGGTTAGCCCGAGCGTGCCCTTCCCCAAAGGACGGCAAAGAGAGGAGTTACTTACGTTGGATTTTCTTCTTCATTCTCGGACACACAAAGAACCAGACAACGAGAGCACAGACAACAGCACTCCCCGCCGAAATTAGCAGGATACCCCACAGAGGAAGTTTGTCAAAGCCCAGCACTAGGAAATAAAATAATGGATCTTTGAAAACCTCTGGGCAAACGCCTCCTCGACACACGACTTGGCTCTTCCCGGCGTGGGAGCTCCATTACCCGAAACATCCCTGAGCTAGTTCACCTGCTGGGGAGAAATGCTGCCGGAGAGCCACGGCTGACCACACAAAACTGGGAGCTTCACCCGCACAGAACCCCCCCGCTCCCCAGTTACAGTCTCCCCCATCAAAAGCTGATCTGACCCTCGTGCAGACACTTTCCCCTCCCTCCCGCAGCCCCCACCAGGGACCAGCATTTGTCCAGAGCAAGACCAGGAGGCTCCTCACAGCCCTCCTCTCCTCATCTGCTGCAATGTCAAAGGAAAAAAAAAAGCACGGCTGCTGCAGCAACAGCACCGCTTCCCCGGCCAGGGAGAGGGCAGCCAGGACCCGGGCTTCTCCCACCGGAGAGCACTGGGTCTCCGTTAACTCCTCCAGCTCCTGGGGGGGACAGTCCTCCTGCTCCACGATTCCCTAGGAACTTAAGCTCCAGTTTTAAGGCATCCAAGGTGTTAAGTGACCTAGTTACAAGCATTCGCACACGCAGCCCGACTCTTGGAGGTTTTGCATTACACAGCCTGCTGCAGCCAGCTCGGGCTATCAGTGCTCGCAACCGCTCGCCTCCTGTGCGTCCCGCTTCGGGCAGTAACTCACAGCTCCTCAACGCCACCACGGCTACCTTACCCACGCATTTGGCTAGCTGCTTACGCCAAACCTGGCTTGTCAACGGCTACAGACCCTGCACACGAGCAACACGGCTCAGCCAGCCTCCTGCAGCTGAGGACTCCAGATAAACATGAATCCGTGCCAAGTGATAGCGTTCTTGGAGCAGCACCACTGCTGCTTTGCAGCCCACTGCCCCCAGCAGCGCCACAGCACCCCTGCCTGCGCCCCTGTGCTGGAGAGCCAAGGCAAGGGGAAGCCACAGCCCTCCAAAAATTTTTCCAGGCGCTGTTTACAGAGAAAGCCCTGCAGAGCCAGCACCCACTGCCCTCATCCACCTCCAGAGACTCCTCCACAACAGGAAACCCACACTCAGACCAAAAACAGCTCACGCCAAGTCATCCTGGCAGACAGAGGTTACGGAGCCTCCAGTTCCGCGGGCAAAGCCACCTTCCCCTAGCAAGCCCTCTCCTAGTCGTGCCCACTACCTGTCCCCTAACACAGCAGCCAAACAAGCACTTCAATTTGGCTTCCCAAACCAAAGAACAAACTCCTCAGTACAGGTGCCAGCTCTTCTCGCCAGGGACCTTTGGGACAAGGCGAATCAGGAGGCACAGCCTCCATCCCTGCTCCTAGCCTTGCTACCGGCAGCCCGAGGAATCTTCAGCAGCAGCCAGGTACCTGAGTTTTAGCACAGGAAAGAGAAGGAAAGGGGAAGTCATGTTATCTGCCAGTCCTGTGGAGTCTAAGGAGGGGTTTAGTTTGAGCAGGTCTCTTTGGCTGGGCAACTACCTAGCCCAGAACTCAGTGCACACTAGCCTGCAGCCTTCTGTAACTGGCACAGGCCAGCCGCCTTCTAGGAGATTTCAGCCCTGTAAAGCAAAAAAGGGGTAAATCGTGCATTTAATGGAGGTTTCGTAAAGAACTTAAAAGTCAAGGTGCAAGTATTCTGACGCCTACTTACACGGTGCGCCTGTGTACATGATGGAGAAGAGGTTGATCCCCACGGTACAGGCATAGAAGACGGGCAGCGCTCGCAAGCCATTGGGAACAGGATCTGCCTGCAACACAAGGACCAGCACTGTGGAAAGCCTGACCCCAGGGACTGCACAGCAGCCACAGAGCAGCTAACAGCTCCTTCCCAGAAGGGGGTCTGTGCCTTCAGTCAACCACCAGCAGTGCCTCCAGGACCATGCTCCCGCCAGATCTGCCAGAAGCCAGAGCTCCTGGCAGCCTCTGGAGACTAACCCACGGGGGCATCTGAACAGCTGCCACCGTCAGGCCTCCCACATGGTGGTCTGGTGGGGGCAGAGAGGGTGGCAGAACACTGTGGGTCCCTCAAGGCTCCCCAGGGAGCCAGGGCAGGGCCAGCAGAGTGTCCTGTCACTCCCAAGGCTGAGGCATCTCCCCTACACCTGCAGCCAGGGCTGCCTGGCCCTGAAACCTCTCTCGAGGCTCCCACAGCCTCCAGCTGCACATATGTTTTCTCTCAACTCTCCACACACTTCTCTGACAAAACCACTTGTCAAAGCTTTCACCTCTTTCCAGCCAACTTGGATGAGCTAAAGCAGCCCGTTACTCACAAAGCAGCTTATCCGACCACATACCTGCAGAGCACAGCCCTCACCGAGCAGCAGGAGCACTTAATCTCCACTGCCACCCAGCAATCTGGTTCTAGCCTCAGTACAAACACACTGAGCATTACCAAATGCCGGGCAGGAGGGAGCAACCGGACTATTCAGTGCTGGAATGAAGCGTGACAGGGCCAGCCCAGCTTTGAAAGGCCAGTTACGCAAGGTTACTCCGACAGCGGTGACGCTGGGTTGTTTTAAAGGGCTGGTAGTTAGAAACAGCAGCGATAAGATCTTAACATCTCTCAGAATGAGCAATAAGACCTAAAATAATTGAAGTTAGCCTCAAATATGCAGAAAATGTTGGAGTTCCTCTGTACAGCTGGCTGGATATCCCTGCTCTGGGTTCCAGGGTCATCGTCACCTCACAGATGAGATCTAAAGCTGTCCCCCTCCATTTCAAGCACCTTTGGGAGCCCAATCCCTCCTCCTGGGCTTTCAGACACCTCCAACAGCAGGAGCATGTCCCTGAAGCCAGCTTGAGCACCCTGTAGTTTACCCCAGACAGGAGGGAAGTGCAGTTTCCACAGCACCAGAGTCAATCCTGGCCGTCCAGGCTTAGAAAAACCATTGCTGTTGGTCAGTGCCTTCACTCGTAACCTGACACAGAAGAGAGCCAGCCTCGCTGCAGAAGTCAGGAAAAGCTGGAGGAGAAGCCCTGCTCTCATCAATTCCAGGCTACTTCACCACTTGGAAGTGGCAGCCCTTTCTGCTGAGCCAGGCAGAACACCCCTGGCCCAGATGTTTTGGAGGGGGTTGAGGGAAGCCTCCTCACCTCCCAGACTCCATTTTTTGGAGGTCTCATTTTTCCATTCCTTTAGCTCCTCCTAAAGGGAAGGCCCAAGTGTCCACACAAGGACGGATGTGCCCGGAGAAGCTGTGGTGCACACAAGCCAACTGGCTGGCCCAACAAGTAGACAGAGGAGCAGCTGGGATCCCCAAGTTGTCAGAAAATGGGGTGGACAGCCCTTACCTTACGGAGGATGAACCTCCGGACAAGGAAGAACAGGATAGCAGACATGATGCCCGAAAGGAGGGGTGAGATGAACCAGGACAACACTAGGAGAGAAGAGGTGTGATCAGCATTCCACTGCTGGAAGGGGAATCCCAGGGCACACGTGGAGACCAGGCACAGGGCTGGTCACGCGAGCCAGACTTACCGATCTTTAGCAGCTCGGACCACTTGACACCTTCTTGCCCTTTGGCCACCAGCGAAAAGCCAATGGTTGCCCCAACGATGCAGTGGGTACCAGAAATGGGGAGCTTCAAGAAGGAAGCCACTAGCTGCCACACAGCAGATCCTAGAGAAAGAGAAGCCTGGTAAGACAGACATCAACAGGGCACCTTTGGGCATGCTGCCCCCACCATTTTGAGCCCCCCAAATTACTCACCAAACATGGCACTGATCGAACCCGCCATCAGCAGCTGCTGCGTGGAGCTGTACATCTTCACGTCAATCAATCCCTTCCGGATGGTCTCGCTGACTTTGGCTCCCAGGAGGACAGAGCCCACTGTCTCAAAGATGCTGGCCAAGATGCAGGCTTGTCGGAGGGTAACCACCCCAGAGCCCACCGCGGTGCCAAAGGAGTTGGCCACATCATTGGCACCAACAGAGAAAGCCAGGATGAAGGCGATGATGAAGCCCAGGACCAGCATCCAGAGGAAGCTCGACATCAGGACAAGGGGCACCACGGGAGTCGGGTCCATGGTTC